CCGCTCTCCTGTCCCAGCCTCCCCACAGCAAGAGAATGCGATCATTCAAAACGAACGTTTATCGCCATCTTCGCAGCACAAACTGGCTCTGGGAAGTCGATTCCCTATGAAAAGTATGATGCTATGATAGTTTCTCCCCCCAACCCCCTCGTGTTAAGCCTTGGGTTTTTCGCATCTTTCTGACCTGTACAGCTCTATCTTCTTTTTTTCCTTGTTTTGGTGCATGTTTTTGGCCGTGACGCCGAGACCTCAGGTCAGCAGAGTCATCAATGCCCCACCATCACTGCTGCGTCTAGGCACAGCGCCTGCTCATTACTTGTCAGTTTGTCCTAGTCTCCGTACCATTGTCTTTCCTTATTCTTTTCGAGCTGTTTATGTGAACATAGTAAAAAAAATTACCCTTGCCAAGTGGACAGTACAGGTGGAAATAGCTCTGGATAGCGGAACACCCTTGCCAAGTGCATGTAGAGGAGCAGATGCATTCCGACTGCCAATCATCGCCAGGTAGTGTAGCATACAGAGGGAAGTAAGGGCAACTAGCCGGACCAATGACAATTTGGAATCCCTTCAAGACGGGTCTGTCATTAATCTCCTCTGCAGCATGATTATGCTGCCAGATTCAAATCTGATGCAGTCTGTCGGCAGGCCCTCGATCAATTCGAAGCATCTTTGCAACCGACGAATGCCGAAAGTGCACCAAAACTCAAGGAGAACGCAGTCAAGCTCAGCCAAATTGGGGACGGGCTGGCGGGCATAGACAAACTTCCTTAGAATAGGCATGGTCATGGGTAATGTATATGCTTCACTGCCTCAATCACATGGCATTGTTGGACAACCATCAACACTGCCTTGATAAGCCAGGTCTTGGCCAGGGGATCCTCTAGACCCTGTTCAACGTGTGCATTTCTTACATCATCCAAGTAAATACATATCACACAAGGACAGACACAGTGAGCAAAAAAGTGCAAGGTAGCAAATGACAGGATCAGAAGCTGAGTAAGGTTGCAGATTGCAAAGGGATCAAAACCAACAAAACAACATTCACCGGCAGAGTGTGGTGCATCTGATATCAGCAGCAATTGCACAGGCAGTTTACTTGGGACTTCGCTCACAAGAACACAGGAAGATGACCCTGTTCTGGGTTTAGCTGGGCTACTGGAGCATGACAACGAAATTTCTGCACAAGAAAAGGAGAAAGCCAATCGGCAGTGACATTCTGGGAGCTAGCAGTGTGCATCCGATTTACACTAATTGATGACATTTCGGAGTTTGAAGCTTGAAGACGTTTCAGCAAAATCTGATGCTATCCCTTGCAATGCAGGCTTCTACAAGGGCCTTATAGATCCTTCTACTCAATAGACTGCAGCATGTGGGCGCTGTTCCATGAACCTTGAGTCAACTTCCTGTTGTAAGCACCTCATGATGGGGTGCCATTTGCATCTGTGTGTAGTCTGGAGGTCCCGTGATAAGGTTCTATTAGGATTGATGACATGGGCAACAAACAAGAGCTTATCCGATAGGGATTCGAGTTGGTGTTGGATATTTTCTGGCTGCTGATTGTGCTGGCCAACACCAACATGGATATCCTAGCCTAGGGCCGCACACAGTCCAGGATGATACCGAGTTAAGTCAATGATCTTACAGAACCTTCCACCTTTGCTGGCGCTAGTGACACGAATAGATAGAGGAAGGACCGCAGCAGGATTACTAATTATTAACGCTTGGCGGGTTTAAATGTTTAGAAAATCGTCATAGGAGTTGCAAAGCTTGGCATTAGAGAAGTGGTTACTGACAATCCACTCTGTGGCTGAGGCAACTGAGTCAAAGAGATTGGCAGAGTTCCAGCACAGTCCAAATGCTAGAGCACGTTCTGCTAGAGCACGTCCGTACTATTAGCTGCCTTGACAGAATATGACAAATAGCGGGTGGTCTTCAGAACATATTGTGATATGCCGGAACACACTTTTGATCCCTATCTTCACAAGATACACTGGCTGAGGTGGGGCCATACTAGTAGCTTCTGATTTTGACAAGTTAAGATGTACTGAGCAGAGTATGGGAAAGGAAGATTATGAACGCATGCAACAGGTATTTGCAGTTCACGTTGGGATCGTGATCCCGTCAAACTACTGGGCTGGCAGCTGATCTTTAGCGGAATATTTGTTACGTGGATGATCCTTGTCACAGCGGTTGCAAATGTAGATGAGCTGGCCATATGCAATTGCCGAGATTGAGGTTGAGGTAGATGATGGCGCCTGCATTGTTGCGGGTGAGCAGCGAAGATGATACTGTTTGGGCTTGGTGTGCTAATTCAAGATGAAAGAAAGGACACATGTTGTGTTCAGACACCAGGTGAACAAGGTTTCATGACATACCGGTACATTCAGGCCTAGCTTCACCTGGGATACAGAGTGGCCAAGTATGTACGTCAATGGTATCAAATTGCTTGCCTGGCTAAAGTGCTGATTTTACAAAGCCCGTGTGAAATACTGCCTGGTGACCTGCAAAATCCATGCACTGGGATAACAGCCTTCCTGCAGTATAATAAGAGTGCATTGATAATCACAACATTCATATCGAGATACCCTGCTGTCGAACAAGTTGTGATAGCATGCACACGTCTACGAGCCAGGCGAATGGTGCCCGCCACCGCTTCAACTGATATTGCATCCCCGGACGAACTAAATTTGAGCAAAAAAAAGACTTCTGGTTATCAACTGCCTCCAAGGTCTAAGCCAACAGTTGGTCAGAGAAGTTCCAGCAGGATATGAACCTGGAGTCATCATATTTCCAAGCACATATCTTGATCACCCAGCCAGCAGGGTGTGGAGTATGCAGCACTCACGCCATTGTCGGCTAACACAGCTGGCGACGCTGGTACTGTCCATGGTTGCAGCAAGACAGAGGTTCCAACCTAGTCCGTGATGGCAGAAGGAACTTCATCCTGAATTTCTTCTCGAATCCCAGCTGGACCCAAAGTGGATAAGGGACCAACTAGCAATTCGCACATGTCCACGGCGAGAGGGTCAGAGTCATCTGAATGCTTTGTACCCCATGCCATCCAGCAATCTCTGAACCAAAATGCACAAGTGTCACTGAAGTCTGAATTTGAAGCGTAAATATAAATCAGAAAATCAGAAGCTAATAAAAGCTAGAAGTCCACAGTAGACGACGGCATTGTTTCAGGCACTAACAAGCGCCAATAAAGTCTGATTTTGAAGCGTGGAGATGAGAGGATGAAAATCTGATGCCAGGACAAGCTACGAGTCGCCAATAATATGACTTTGCAGTGTAGCCGACATCAAGAAAGAAAGAAAAAGCAAGCAAGCAGCCATGCACATGCACGAACGACACCATGTTGGTTGGCGTTACCATGGAAGATACATGTGACGTCAGGCTAGGCGTGCGCAAAGCTCTGTGTTGGCAATGCAAGTGCAGTACCACATAGCACTTAACCCTTGCCATGCTGGGCGACTTTTTTTCCAATCGGCCGGCTGTCCAGCGCACTGACTGTCTCTGTGTAGTTTACACACAGTTCTGAACGAAATTTATTCTCATTTCAATCCACCTTGATGGATTTTCATCATCCTGGGCTCGTTGGAAAGATCAGGACCAAGCGAATCCATCATAGTAGATCTCAGCGACAGAGACACACCAGTGCCACTTCCACCTCCTCTCCAAACTACTCTACCATGCCTCGGAACGGCACGACTCAATTTCACGTTCTTGTTCGACATCTTGGCCAAATTCAACCGATTTTCACGATTCGAACTGCGCTGGAAAGCTGAGATCCAAGCACTTCATTAATTTTGATGTCCATCACGCATGCATCGTGCCAAAGGGAAATCCCCTAGCCTGCTCCAAAAACTGCGAAGTCATAAACCAAAAATATCGCGTTTGCTCCGGGCCATGATCCCGGTGTTCATCATGCCACGGCTCAGTGAGTCATTATCTTATCGCGCAAAATTTATAAACTTCGGAAAGATGACCTCAAGACCTTTCCTACGGTGTATTGATGGTTGCTATGCGTTAATGTTTCCCGGAGTTACGATAGTTTGTACACTGGCCCATGCACTGCGATATAATGCGCGTTCGCCTCGGGCAGTGATTTCGGTGTTCATCCTGTCGCCGCTCAGTGATTCTTTATCTTATGGCGACGAAATGTGTATCTTCGGAAAGATGAGCTCAAGACCTTTCCTACGGTGTATTGATTGTCGCGATTTGTTTATGTGTCACAGAGTTACGATAGTTTGTACACTGGTCGATGCTTTATACTTTGGCAATTAGAGTAGTTAATGTGTGTTAGAATGCATACGGGCATGTTTGCATTTGTCACGCACCCACAATACTGTACCCATTCGAAATACCTTTATTTAATGCTCGAATTCTTTTCCGCATATAGGCGCTCATGGCCGAGCACGTCATAGTTTCAGAGTGCATATAATATTATTATGCTCTCCTGGCTCGAAAAGGTTTGCGGTGCGTGACAAATGCAAACATGCCAGTATGAATTCTAACACACATTAACTACCCTAGTTGCCAGAGTATAACGCGCACCTGAGCATAATGCGCAGACCTAATTTTGCCAAACTCTAAGGCAACTCAAGGTATATCGGGAGTATATTACGCAGCCCTGATTTGAGAACATTTTGGATTACAGAGACAGTACTATATTGTGATCAGAGCCAACATTTTCATAACAATTACATCTGTAAATGCAAGTGTAACATATGGTGTTTCATACACATCTTGCATTTGCAGTGTGGCTGGCAGAAGACACCAGAAATAATTATATGAATATGTTTTGTGTAGAGTCGCGGACTCAGATGTTGCAAATTTGGCTACAGTGAGATCCATAGTCATTAGACTATTTCCAAAGTGCACATATTCTCATATTTGGAGCACAGTACTCACCAGTGACTTGCGGCCTGAAATAGCGTATCTAAAGTTCAAACTACACTCTGGCAAACACGGTCCAATACTAGTGTGACAAAACTCACCGCGATTTTTCCCTCCAAGTCACTGCGCATGTCAGATTGAACTGCAAAGTTGTGAACAAAAACACAAAGACAAATAACAAGTAAACAGCGTCCTCTGAGACAAAAATGCGATAATACTCATAAAATTTACACACTTCACGCTCTTTACGAACATCTTGAAAGTTTTTGGTTTCACAAGTCTACTTTCAAGCCTTCTCGTCAGGTGAAATGCAGGCAAGGGAAAAGGAACAGGAACAGTGGATTAAATACAGTAAGAAGGTGGTAAAACAGCGCAAAGAAGAAGATAGCTAAAGTTAGGAGTATCATTACAAATACCAAACAAGGCGTTTCTTATATCCATACTATCCCTACACACACAATATAGCTATTCTTAAATCCATACTATCCCTACACACACACAGGCAAACCTCGCTTATCCGGTCCTCGTTTATCCGGATCCCTCGCCATCCGGAAGAAAATCGCTGGTTACCGATGTGCAGCATATGTTATGCATACAACATAACCGGACCTCGCGATCCGCATACCGGTGCATGATTTTGTGTACAAAACAGTTAAAATGTGTACAAAAAGCTTCGTCATATCCGGTTGCATGTACATGTGGCTTGCACTTGCAGAAGCTAGAATCAGGGAGTTGTACAGGCAAATGAGGTCCTTGACCTGCTGGGTGCATGTGGACAGCACTTGTCATTTTTCTCGCTTGTTTTACATACTGGGCAGTGCACGCTAGTTGTACTGCATAGGACCCGTCTACATGTATGTATGATGTCACTGCTTTTGACATGCCACATGCATATATATATATATGTTGGACTCAGTAGAGCGTCCAGCCCCTATATGATGTTCAACCCCTATATAGAGTCCATTGGTCCAAAATCCACTGTACAGAGTCCAAACTTGGAATCAACTGCGAGCTCAAAGTTTAGATGAACATCACTCCCTGTATAGAGTCCAGCCAATTGGCTTCATCCCTATGTAGTGTCCATTGGTCCAAAATCAACTGTACGGAGTCCAAACTTTGAAATCAACTATAACGAGTCTTTATGTGGACAACACTTCCTGTATAAAGTCCAGCCAATTAGGCATCCCCTATCCAGAGTTCCAAATTAGACATAGGATCTGCTGAAAGCAGTGAATATTAACCAGAAAACGGCCTCTCCCTTTAATCCTTTACATCATTCACTTCTCAAGATAAAAAATAAGTATTGAGGTGCCACTGCAGCCACTTCATTACATGAAAAACCCTACAAACACCATCCTTAAATCAAGTGGTCTCTTCGCAGACGCTGCAAATTACAATATCTCAATCATGTAGTGTTGCCAAATTATTGTGCACGCACACACACATGCACACACCCACACAACGCCAAGAAAATACCTAGAAAAAAAACAAGAATCGAAAGAGAATAATGGAGAGCCCAGGATTAATTATTTGTTTTCAAATTATTGCGCGCGCGCTCGCGCGCACACACACACACACACACACACACACACACACACACAAACTTATACAATGCCAAGAAAACACCAAGTAAAGAGTAGAGACACAATACATACGCAACTCCAACAGCCATGCATACGTTCACCCATTTACAAGTAAAGTCAAGAGGGATAACAAATAATTATACGAAACGAATGCATACGTGGCCGTGGGCGGATGCACGCACGTTTACATACATGTACATGTAGTAGTGGAAGAGAGTAACATAGTGCAGTGGTCAGCATAATACTAGCACATGCTGAGAGTGCAATAGCAAGCTTCACCATTGCTCATGGCCATGCAAATGTTCAGCAGCACTCAGTTCCGCAAGCTTCTGAAGATCAGCACACCTGCAACAAATAGATAGCACAAGGATACGCTTATTACCGTAATGATGCATGGGAGCACACAACTACCAAGTTCTCAACGAATGTGATGCTCAATGAAAATCCATCCACTCAAAGACCTGTGAACAGGTGACGGTGGGGACAATAATCTATTAGTAATACGAGGAATAAGATCGTTTGTGCACACTCAAGACGCACAGACACACCACCATACATGAAGTGTACACAGTGGTTCACTTCACTGCAACTAAATTGAAATGAGATGATTTGAACAATCTGTACAGCGTTGCCGTCAGTCAGTCTTCCCCGAGATGGAATTGCAATGATTTGTTGTCACGAGGCAGTTTCACTGACACAGTGTCATGTTTGTCACATCAAAACGGTTACTTCATGGAATACGAGTACATGTATTAACTTGAGAAGCTTTTTCTTGTCATCGGCATACAAGAAATCCTCCTCCTACTACTACTACTAGTACACTGGCACTGCGTTTGTGGATCCCATTGTATTTGACATCATACTAGAGCCTAGTAAAAGAAGAGTGTCGTGGAGTTCACATAATTATCATAGGGATAAAAATACATTTCTCATGAAACAAAATAATAATTGATGATAGCTAGACGATCGTATACGATTGATGCAAAGTCCTTGCAGTCCTTGAGGACTAGTACGAAGTGGTTGATTACATGTAGGGCATTCATTCAAGCAACATCAAACAAACGCGATACGCTCCTTGAAAAATGGAAAAAAATTCAAGCATATTACGACAGAACAGCAGACCAATCGAAACGAGTAAAAGCTTCCTTACCTCAGTCATCGTCCTGCCATGTAGTTGGACAGCCTTTTTGACACGGTGGTACAGGCAGCTCTTGTCCAGACAAACAGGATATCCTTGTGGCGTCGAACGAAAGAGAGTGTCAGTGTATCTGACTCGTCAGATTGGAACTGTGCTGAACTTTTCTCGTTCTCTGCTTTCTGCTTTCATCCCTCGATCTGATGAAACCGTTCAAACGTCTTACTGGCAGCAATGGCCAGCCAAACAGGGGATCCTTGTGGCGTCAAACGAAAGAGAGTGTCGGTGTACCTGACTCGTCAGATTTGAACTGTGCTGAACTTTTCTCGTTCTGCAATTTCTGCTTTCATCCCGCGCACTGATGAAACGTCTTCCGAGAACCACAAGACGCTTTCCAGATTTGATTTTGAACGTCTCCTTATCCTCCTTGGTTACCTCGGGGCAGATTACTGTCAGCAACTGCACAGCAGAACTGGCAGCCATGGCTGAAGTGAAGAAAGGAATACGCTGCCACGAGGCAAGCAAAACTGAAAAGGTATTTGTTCTCTTTTGGGCACAACTCACAGGACGGCGTGACTGGATAAACTGGACTCCTGGACCGTGAATAGGGGACTTGTAGAAAAAGTGTACTCCTTATAGGGGATTGCGCGGCAGGATGAAGCTGATCAAAACTGAGTGGATTTTGGACCAATGGACTCTATATAGGGTGCTGGACATCATATAGTGCATGGACTCTATACTGAGTCCTACATATATACAGTATGTGTGTTCAGTTATCCGGTTCCCTCGCCTATCCGGATATTTTTGTGGAAAACGGATGTGTGCGGTTTAGCGAGGTCTGACTGTATCCATACTATCCCTACACACAATATAGCTATTCTTATATCCATACGTATATAATAACACATGGTACGGAGGGCATTATGGCTGATTTATGCCCTAGTGCGTAGCCCGAGGTCGTGCACCGTAGCCCAAGGGCCGCAGGCCCGCGGGCTACGGTGCGCGACCGAGGGCTACGGAATAGGGCATACAGTCAACCATAATGCACGACGCACCATGTGTTTATTATAGTTCATACATGCCACGTGCCTAGTTGTAGACAGAATAAGGTAAACATGGTCAAGGGAGGAGGAAGGTTCCAATCAGCTGTCATATGAATGAAGGGTCGAACAAGATCGGAAGGAGGTTTCTCTGTGGAATGATAGAACGTTTTGTGTCAGATTTACTTGCAGTTCCAGGAATATGTCTTTGCATTTTGGTGCATGTTAGTGTTGCCTATTGGGCGGTAGGGAAGTTAGCTGATTCGCTGCTGCTTTGGAGTTAACGTTGGACTCAAACATCCTTCACCAAGTGGCACTAGTAATTAGACTGGTTTTGAGAGTAGATTGTAAGTGTTCTTATTCGGAACAATGATACTTTTTGACATACATCTGAGATTGTGTTTGCATTGCTTTCAGTTTGCTTGACGTCCATATGTACACTGGACATGTAGCTAGGTAAATTTGAAGTACATGTACATGTAGATACGAAGTAGTCGGCGGAATAGCGCGAGCTCCAGTGTGGGGAGCAAACCCTTTCTTATGTACATGTAGATGTAACTGTATATTTTGTAGGAGTTCGAGATACAATCTGATCTATTCCAGATACTTTGTGATGCATGTTCACCTGTCGACTTGTTAGTCTCAATTGACTTGAATTTAGGAATGCATTGTAATGACATGCTGTGTACTATGTCGACATTGCTAGTAAAATATAATTGTTTTGGACGGTGCACGTAAGTAGTTTCGTTTTGTGTGGTGTGTGCGAGTGCATGCATGTGGTGTCCTTAGGAATGGTCCCATGTGTTCTACAAGTATGTGCGCTAGAGTACTGGCAATCATGTACCAGGTCACTGCCCAAAAGGCATGGCTCGGTAAATGAAAATGAAATAAAAGTAAATCAATCAAAAACCAATTGTAAAAATCAATCCAAAACCCAAATCAATTGTACAGTTAGCATAATGTGATTTACTTTGGATCTTGAAGTAATACACAAAGAGAATGAAAATCAATGGTTAGTAAATGAAGATCGACGTACATGTATATTTATCAAGCTTAACAACGCATTGAGGGTGTTGCTGGACTTTAATTGCTGAGGAAGAGAATCCCATGATTGGTATGCCAGGAATACAGGCGAGTCGCTCATGGAATTGTTTCTTGCAATCGGGAAACGAAGCGAGTTCCGGCTTGTTGAGAATTCATTTAACCAGTTTAAGGAATGCTGCACATGCTGAGGGGCAGTAAAAAATTTGATTTTGTGAATGTATACGCAGGAGGATCGGTCAATGTAATGTTTCAGAGGATATGTACAGCAATTTTCATAGAGAACGGCTATGTTGGTCTCGGGCGGCAAACGAAGTATTGCCCGGAGAATCTGTCGATGCAC